AGGAAGCTCTAGAACCATAACACTTCTTATGGGTTTAAACCAGGATTTAGTTGTATATCTAACTAAGTCTATATATACCTTTTTCTTTCAGACACACGCACAAACTATACATGGACACACTTAGTGAGACACATGCATATAGGGTTCGAGCCTGGAGCTGTTGTTCTTTGGTTTTTCTATATTAGTTTATCACATACACATCTAAACACTCATATATATGGTGCACACTAGTGACATACATATAATGGTGCACAATAGGATGCTGCTTTGTAGACTATACTGTACTACAGAGTTGTTAGTTAACTGTTAATTTTTCATGTTTAGGTATGGCAATTTAGGCGTGTTGTGCTGGAGGCATTGGGTGTTGATTTACGTGAAGAATTGAAGTTTGTTGATCGCATTGCTGGGGAGAATACCAAAAATTATCAAATATGGTAAGTTGAAAATCAGGTCTCTGCTAAAGTAAAGGTGATGTAATGTAAATGCTTTGTTGACAAGTGACCGATATTGCCTGTCCAAGGCTAATGGATATCACATGGAGGAACTGCATGATTGTAGACTCTGTCAGTGAACTGAAAATGTTGTACTGCACAAAATTGTCTGCATGGGAAGACCAAATTTTGTAGATGAAAATTGGAATTAGGAAAACTCATTGACAAGGGAAATCTTGGTTATTAAACTCACTTATCTTGCAGTGGGTCTCAGGTTCTTGAATGCCGTATATAGCCTTGAGTCAGTACACTGCCTTGGCATCACTTGAAACATTATTGAAAGGTGATTATGAGTAAACGTATGGATTCTTTTTGTGAGTGTTAAATTTGACAGCTAGGCTTTGTTCGTTTGTTTGAAAAGGATTTTGTTTCAGAAATCTATTTCAAGAATTATAAAAAAAATATTAGGGATAAAATTTTAAAAACTTGGTAAATAAAAGTGCTTATAATCTGATAAGTCGCAAATTGGAGTTCAACTTATGATTTTTGGTCGATGTTGGTTTATACTACAGATAAGCCAAAAAGTGCTTATAAGCTGGATTTATCGCATTATAAGATTATGCAAACACACTCAATATCTATTAAAGTTACGTAGAACGTGATGGTTTTCTCTTTTCTCTTGTTCCATTGTGCTTGGATGAAATAAGCATTCTTTGGCAACTTTGGATGTTAAGCTTGAACGGGGTCTAAGCTATCATGGTTGGTTTGACCGTGACTTACTACTCAAGCTCTTAATATGCTTTCGCTTTGTCATCCAACCAAGGCTCATAATTGTTTTCCTTCTCAAAGCTAATCCTTGAGTTCAAATTTGATCTTTGTTTTTTAAAATATACTTTTTAAAGTTTATTTTTGGAAGTACCATCCTCCGTGTTAATTGTCTTTCTAAATTTTGAGTTGGCCCACATGCTTTTCACTTTTGTACAAATTCTTGCGACCCATGTACACTTGCATGTTGTCCGTGTCTCAAGATTTTCTAGGTGTTTTTTTTTGCCTATGACTTTCTTTTACCCTTTTCAGTACCTATGTGTCTACATATTATACTTGACTCTGTTATAGCCTTAACAGAAAAAGAAAGTTTTTCCTCCATAGGTTATTCTTTATCTGTTGAATTCTTTATTTGTATTTAGTTGTAAGTATGCACACGTTGGTCGAAATTCTTAATTATAGAAATTTACAGGCATCATAGACGGTGGCTTGCTGAGAAGCTGGGAGCTGATGCTGTGACAAATGAGCTAGAATTCACCAAGAAAATATTTTCTCAGGATGCAAAAAATTATCATGCTTGGTCCCATCGGCAGGTTGTCTTTGTATCCCTATTTTTTGTTTCGTAAAAGTAATGACATTGCCTGTTTGGAAAAGCTCTTTTGCATGAGTTGTGTTTCATGGTACCAAAATCATGTTTTAGATTATTCAAGTCCATGAATTGAGCCAGATCCTAGATAAAATTGACAAGATACTAGGTCAAAGCAGGGTGACTTAAGATCATATTAAATGTTAGGACCTCCCTCTTCCTATGAAAGTTCATTACATTTTATTTGGATTCTTGCTTCGGTGTCACTTAATAAACATCTTTCTTGTAATTAATCCCAATTATATTTTGCCCTGTAACAGTGTTTCAAAGGAGATATAACTTTGAAAGGCCCAAACTCTCCTTGGACTTCACAAGTAGAGCGTAATAAAAACATGGGCTTTAATATAAAACAATTTCCAAATGATGAAAATATATTAATGCAAGAAAATTTACTACATACATGAACTTTCTAGCGTACACACGGTTCCTTTCGATTGGAGGCTGTCGCTACCTGGATCAATCAGCCTATTCAAGTTCACTCACTTCTTAAAGAGAAGAGTGTATAAAATTCCAATTGAATAAAATATATGAGGTAAAAATTAAATCAATTTTAATATTCATTTTACTTTCTGTGTCAGATGCAGCAGTTTTAAGTTTTTGATTTGGGAGTAGAACTAGTTTTCTTGTGTTAAGTTCCTTATTTTGTTTACCCAAGGGTGTGGCCTAAACCTTGGTGATTACAGTTCTCAGGTATCAACACCTTTGTTGGTGGGAGGTAGCAGGTACCCCAATGGAATTGTCAAGCTGCGTGCAAGCTGCCCAAACACCATTGTTATCAAAAACAGAAAAAAATTTCTTATTTCCTTTTCTGAGTTACTTACCAAATCGCTATCGTTGCTTTGACAATTAGCATATCAGCTTGCCAGCTATATATATATATATATATATATATATATATATTGTGCAGTGTCACTATCTTCAGCAGCCAGATGTGGCTGCCTAGGTGCTTCTATTATAGTGTGGCTTAAAAAGAGACGAAGCAGTTAGGCCTGCGCTGTACATCACTCATTGTTTAAGCACTTTACATGAGCCCCTAACAGCAACTCCTATAAAAGCATAAACAACAGGAATGTAGCCATCAAAATTGTATTTAATCTCCACTTGCAGGCTTGCTTCTTCAGTGACTAAACAACTTCAAATATACCTCAAAGTCCATTTCCAGTTACAACAAGATGATAAAAGTTAGAAAGACACCGAAAAGAATTATTTTTTATTTATTCCTCAGTGATCTAATCTGGTACCTGCAAGAGATGATCCTGAATCATTCCTTTTATAACATTGGACTAGTTTTTGCTTCTTTATTTCAATAGCAAACCAGAATACTGATCTTTACTACTTATGCAGTGGGTCCTTCAAGCACTTGGAGGATGGGAAGATGAGCTTGCTTATTGTCAACAACTCCTTGAAGATGATATTTACAACAATTCTGCTTGGAATCAGGTAATGATTGAATTTTTTTGATAGTAAATGAGGTTACAGAGTGCGACAAGATGACTTCATCTGACAAAAATCAAAGGTATAAACGAAGAGATCTTCAAACAAGAAGCATCTGCCAATCCCTTTGGAGGCTTGTTAAAACTATGCTGTAAAACTATTAAGATGCCTAGAAATCTAGATGCCGAGTTCCATTTTGGAATACTTGTGATACCACAAGTCAAATAGAGCACAGAATTGGATGCATGATATTCTTCCATTAAACTTTTAACTTCTTCAATTGCTCCAAACCCCTGAAATTGTAATGAGAAAGGACTTATGGGGTAGACACACAAGTCTCCATATTTGCAAATAACCTTTTTCAAGTTAATTTGCTAATGGACAACGCATAAACAAGTATGCGTGAGACTGACTCATTACGATGTTTGCTTGTCATACAATAGCTAGGAAACATACACATCAAGCTCAATATATCTAATTGTAATGGCAGTAGTGATGTTTCTGTTTGATTGTTCACTCTCATTTTACTCTTGAGAAACCAATTACCTGCAAAAGTTTCGTTCTTTTTTCTTTTAATTATAATTATAATTATTTTAAATCTACTGAATAATATTAGCATTATCTGAGATTCTCAAGGAGCGTACTTCTTACAAATGTTTAATGCTTGTTTTAAATTTTTTTTTTATGCTTAATGCTTTAAATTATTAGAAGGGTAAAAATCCTTTGTGAAGGAAGTGTCGCTCTAAACTTTTCTTTGTTTCTTGTAGAGATACTTTGTCGTAACACGATCACCTCTACTAGGGGGCCTAGTGGCAATGAGGGAATTGGAAGTGAATTACACAGTTCAAGCCATCAGAGCTAGTCCAGAGAATGAAAGTCCTTGGAGGTATCTTCGTGGTCTTTACAAGAATGATACACAATCTCTAGTTCAGGATTCTCAAGTAGCATCAGTACTTTTGGACGTCTTAACCTCCCAAAATAGTCATGTGCACGCTCTGAGGTTCTTGTTGGATCTTCTTTGTCATGATTTTGAACCGAGCCAAGAATTGAAAAGTGCTGTAGATGTTCTTACTCCCCAGTCATGCTCACCAGATTTAGCACTGACAAAGAAAATTTGTTCCATCTTGGAACATGCTGATCCAATGAGAGTAAAATATTGGAATTGGCGCAAGAGCATGGTTCGGGTTCAATTACTTCAGAGTCAGAATGCAGAGAGGTTGGCTAATTTGAGTGTTCAAGAATGACTTGTGAGAATATTGTACTGTGTTTACGAAATACATACTTGCATCTAAGGTGATCCTTCGGGCACATGTGCTGGGAAGTGACTGAATATCACGAAGAACTAAAAAAACTGTGATTGGCAACATTGTACTACTCAAAATAGGTCACTTTCGATGACTTTTTGTACTGCCTTGAGTTTTGGCTCTGCTATGTTTTGTAAGTTTTGGATATGGATGCATAGCTTATTGATACTTTTGGTGACTTAAAATACTCTGGAAGGCAGGTAGCATGTGTATAATTCACTGTTACTTCCCATGTCGAGTTAGATCTTGAAAATTTTAGTAGGTGTTCTTTTATGAAGCACACATTAATGTGAAGTAAGAGTAGTATTCTCCATCTTTAGCAAAGTAAATATAAGAGTAGTATTCTCCATCTTTATCAAAGTAAATAAAAAAAAATGATAATCTGAAGAATGTAGCAAATAGTATCAATACAAAATATTGTTAGCTTGGAAAAACTTTCCCTTGATATCAAACCAAAACATGATCTTACTACCTCCATGCATTGCAGGATAGTGAACTGTACAAAATGGAACTAATTTTACAGAATGTACTTTGCCAGTTTTCAACTTATCCACATCCTTCCACCAAACAAAACCAAGCGTTTTCTTTCCAGCCCATCAAGAAAAAGAACGAAAAACACGGACAAAATATGAGCTAAGAGCACAAAATTTGTCTATTGCTCAAGTAAAAAATAGTATTGTTATGGGAGAAAACTGTGCCCTCACTGCAAAACTTGATGAAATTCCATCAGATGTCACTTCTTGGGTGTGGACGATGGGCTTGCTGCCTCTTTGAATGCTGATGGGCAGAGATCACTTACTGTACAGATTGCACAACGTGGTCTTAAAGGAGTACAAATGGTCTGACCAAACCCAACCTGTTTTAAAGATTAGTGAAAGTAAAAGTAAATTAAGCAATAAAACAAAAAGTGATTCACATTGAAACATAAAAACAGAAACGATTTAATATGTCGAAGCAAATTGTGTACTTAGGTGCAACCATCTAAAATATTCTTCTTGATTCAGATGGCGAAAAGTTTCAAGAAAGAAGAGATTCTTGAGATGGTCAGTTTCTCAACATTGCACCAGTGTGGAATCAAATCAAGTAAATATGTTCAGCCTTTTGAGCTTTTAAGATAAGTTCCCTTGTCAGATACGTCGTTCATGGTTTATGACCAGCACCCTTGTTTTTTTCCCACCAAAGAATTTATAATGTGTATTTACGTTGATGGATTCTTTAACTATATATGATGATCAGACACCACAGAATTCATGCATAATGCTTTTTGCAGATTATGGATGGCTCTCGCTAAGATAAGATGAAAAGAACCATTTTAGAATCTCCTACCAGTTTTGAATACAAGTAGATATACATTACGCATGCAGAAAAAATAGATGAGAGACATACCAAGAGAGGATTGATTGGCACCCATTCTTCCTTTGGAAGCCAAAGTTGCAAGGACTCCCTAGTCTCCTCAGGGGTTCTCGTTTTCTAACAAGAACAAAGTAAGAAATTAAACAACGTAGTGCATTATGATAATTAGAGAATTTATAGATCCTTAGATACTGCAACTGTTTCTCAAATATATTTAGTTCTACACTAGGCCTAAACTATTACACAAAATGGTTAGTGGAGTGCTCAAACAAAACAACAACATACCCAGTGTAATACAACAAGTGGGGGTCTGGGAGGGTAGGATGTACTAAGACCTTACCCCTACTTTTGTCAAATAGAGAGGTTGTTTCCCATAGACCCTCGGCTCAAACTCCACACCATAAATTTGCTATTATGAAGGTAACCCATAATTATTTGAAAGAAAGCAAGGCAGGAGTTAAGAGTTGCTTCTTTTTTCTTTTTCTTTTTACCAAGGACTTCCACATATTTTTGCTTTTGTCAACAAATATGAATTTTAGTTTAAAATTGGAAAACAATAGCATTTATATGACAATCACACACTCCTGACACCACATTAGATGTAGTCTCATTGTCAGATGGGAATCAAGAATACCTGCTTAGTTCCAGGACGTGATACCCATTCAAGCCGATTAGAAATACGATGCACATGAGTATCTACACATATCCCTTGGACGTTTTCCCATGCAACATTCATAACCTAAAGGAATATACATCGAACTAGTTTACAAGTGAAAATGAGGAAATAGAGAAAAAACACAACTTCCTTACTAGATGAGCCATCTTGGGACCAATTCCTGGGAGCAGAAGCAATTCTTCCAATGAACTAGGGATGTCCCCATTGTATTTTGATAGACAAATTTTTGCTACTTTTTTCAGGTTGCTAGCTTTTCGTGTGTAAAACCCCACCTGAAAGGGAAACGTGTGCATACATCAACAATCAATGTTCAGAAAACTCTCAAACATGTTGATCAAAGGACAGTGCTTAATGTTCTTAATTGTTTTTTGCATTTCAGCTGATCTAGGTCTAACAAAAACATTATAGTATACAAGTAATTGGCATAAAAGAAGGCATACTGGATATATCAAACTCTTGATTGTTTCTTCATTGGCTGAGTCAATGGCATCTGCAGCAAGCAAGCCATTTTGAAGGAGACGCTGGACAGCTCCTGTTGATAATAAGTCCTAAATGAATACAAGTAAAATAACAGCATTCCATGCATGGATGTATTCCAGATTATTGGAACCGGGGCCTTAGTTCTACCAAAACATGATGTGGTAATGCGAACGCACGACAATTTAGCACTTTCAACTCAAAAATCATGTATTTCATTTTTGGACATGAGTTTTGAGAGTTCTCAAGTTACAAAGGAGCATTTGATACAAAAATTTACCATACAAGGTCACGGGGATATCAGCAAAGCTTTTATGCTATAACCAAGGCATAAAATGAGGCTCTTCAAATAAAAATGCAAAAAGGGAAGGCAGGAAGGAATGTTTAAAAATTTTAGGACAATGACAACGACCAAATTTTGAATTTAAGATATATAGTAATCAGTAGAAAACGAAGTATCTTAGACAGAATCAAGTTGAAATGTTAGGCACAATATAACTAGGATTAGCAACCTCGAGTAGAAAAGCAAAGCAAATTAAACAAAAAAGTTGAGAACAGATCAGTAAGAGATATTTCAAATCAGAAGATTAGCAACTTCAGAACTTGCCATGATTAACTTGATCTTTGGTCTGGCTTGATAAGAGTGATGATACAAGGACTGCAAATCTTCTTTCCTGATAAAAACATGAAGTGTCAAAATAAGCAACAAAGTCAAGATGGAGCATCCAGAAGTCATCAACAATTCAAGAGTTCTCCACCAAAGGGCCAGCAAGGAATACAATCTATAAAACTTGAATGGATGAAATACCCATTCATGATAAACAACTAGAAAAATTATTGTCAAAAACAAGTAACCATCTTCAACTGAAAAATAGTCTGATTATAATGACTTCCTAAACTAGGGAACACTGAATTAGTAGTATATTAGTTGAATACCTAACCTTAATGACAGGATAAAAAAAATTAACATCCATCAAGTGTATATTTTGCTGAGCTTCTTTCACCACAAATGTTTTTGCCTGTCCTTTTCCAGAGTTAAATAGTTCCTTTTATGGGGTAAAAAACATGGATAATCCTCTAGATTGTTGAAATTAAGCACCTCCCTGCTTAGGGAGATACACTACTGACTACACTCCTTGAATTTAGTTCCATGGTATATGTGACCCATGAAGTTCTACTTAGGCCAGAGGTTGCTAATGTCACACGAAAAAAAGGTTCAAGTCTATCCTTTCTGATGTAACTTCATTTTACTCTTTTCCATGTCCTTTTCACATGAAAGAAAGGCTCAATAAATATGCTCTTGTGTTCAATTAGTGCAAAAAATTTATCACCTTGGCAGGAAGTGAACTCCCAGCTTTCTCACAACCCATGGAGTCTACAGGTGCATCTTCTGCAGATCTCATCTTACGGATCCCTTCAAGGACTTTTTCCCAGTTCGACGGTGGTTGTAGTGGATCAGATAGACTGAAGCCTTTAATTTCTGTCCTTGAACAGACCTTCGCTTAGTGATATGTTTAACCAAGACAAAGTGCCCATTGGCTCAACATAACATAGAATTGCACACAAAGGTGCTTCAAGTATTATTTATTTCAAACTAACAAAGGTAAGATATAAACCAAAAAGAAACCTCGGTATAGCAAACCACAGAAAAATAATAAACAGAACTCTTTTGCTGACAAAGAGTGGTGGAAGATATATCCCGCTTTCATATGGTAGACGATTTGGAAAAAGAAGAATGCAAGATGTTTTGAAGGCAAGAGCAGTTCAATCAAGAAGATCAAGAATTCTTGCATTTCTCCTATTTACTTTTGGAGTAACGCTTAATAGATGATGCAGAGTCATTACTAGATTTCTTGGCCTCTTGTAAGTTTTTTTTCATGGGCTGTATTTGTAGATATGATGTACCAGCCCTTTTTTGGGGTGCTGATAAATATAACATGTTAACAATTTTTAAAAAGATAGATAGAATTCTATTAAAACATCAAACAGAATCTCTTTAATTCAAGACTAAGGCTAATTCCCTTGTCACCTAAGAGTGTCTAGAAAGATAAACTGAAGCAGAGAACTCTTTCCTTTTTCTTCTTCATTCATTTTGGTAGTATAAAACTACAATCATACATTATCAAAGAAAAAATTACATCTTCATGCTACATTTTTCTATTCAATGTGTCAATTGATGACTTCTATATACATTGTTTATCCCATGAATTGGACTCTTCCACTGAAAGTTATAGCCATTGACCAGCAGATTTTTCAAGCTAGTTGACAGAGAAATAGTTTCACGGTTTTAACTATCCAGACTTAAGCTTTTGATCTACCAGACCAGACAGTCATTTGGAGAATCTATATACATGTCTAGTTGGGTTTTCTTTGTGAGTTTTCTTTCAAGAAAAATCAATTATTTCAGGATTATAGTTTGTACATGTGATATTAGTTAGAGGTAAGATCTGTTTAAAAAAATTTATCCTAGAGATGGAGGTTTATTATATCCGGAAAAAACATTCTGCAGTGACATGAAGGAAAGAAGATTTGAGGAGGTTCTCCTTTTCAGATTTGAAATAGACTAGTACGAGCTTTTGAACCTTTAATTAAGCAGAAAAAAGACATCTCACAGGTTTAATACTTATCCCTTAGGTGACAAGTTTTTTCCTTTTCTTTAAGTGCATGTTCACATTACCACCCTAAATCTCATTTGCACAATTCTTGGTAGTTAAATCAACATGTATTTCCCATGTTATCCAAAGCTACATATTTTTCAACTTCAGAAACAATAATGAAACCTCCAGATTACCTCATTTACCTGTTTGCATCAACTGGGGTAGAGTTTTTTCTCCTGTCAAACGCACAGTTTTGGAAGGTGCTGCACAAAATAAAGAATGATTGGCACAAAGATGAAAAAAGGAAATTAGGAAAGTCCAAATGCTGATGGACAGGAACGTAAAATAGCAGAGCTGCAGAGGTGACTGAAAGCTTGTACTTGTGAGTTGTGACAGAGTTCTATACCACTCAAGCATCATTAAAAACATGCAAGAGAAATGGCAATAATATAGAAAATTCTACCTTCTTTCTTTCCCTATCATACAAAAAGAAGACTTTTTTTGCTTGCTGACAAAACAAGTGCTTATACTTTCGTCACTTATATTTCTTTTTCTAAGTAGGCCTGAACAAATTTTATATCTTAGAAATTCGTTAGTCAACAAATTATCAGTACCTTAAATGCTGTCATGACATTAGATGTGTCATTGATAAGCCACAGATATAGATCTTCAAATACTATATGCCTTAGATAAAACGATTAGCAAATAATGGGTCGTGTACTTTCTCTCTCTACACAACATAGTTTTTACATACCTTACTCATACACTTTTCCCTTCCTTCCATATCACCTTGGTTAAAACACAGGGAAGTCAAAGTGCTTGGTCAGGTTTTTCATGACTACTGCTTCTATGTAAAAATAAAGATATCTGACGGGTTATAAGGACTCCATCGCATAAACTTACTTCAATTAGTCATCTCCGATCACTTTTGCTGTATTGATATCTTTTCTTACTTATCCTTGTTTAACTTCCAGGAGTTGGTTCAAGTTAAATTATGCAATTTTTTGGGTTTCATCAACTCAATCTTGATCTCTTCGAGTCAATAAACAACTACGCACAGTAACATTTTTTTAGCACTAGATAACTACAGGACTTGGATATTCTATATTTTTCCATTTTTTGGACAATCACTTCATCTAATAAAAGTTCTTGGTAAAGTTGTATGTTTTTAGTGTCTTGAGCTTGGATAAAAACTTGTCCAAAATCATGTTCAAAACTTCATCTAATCATGCAAAAATTTTGATCTAATCGTGTTCATTCATTTCATCAAAAACTACAGCACTGATTGTCAAATTTATTGTACCAGTACCCCATAGAATGGGGTAGGCAAGACTATGAAGTTCAACAATAATCAAGCTTAACAAGGTAAAAGGTGTTGCTTTCCAGGCACAAGGATACAAGCAGCAAGTCAAAATAACTAGGTTTGTGCAGACATTGCCCTTGTCTGCTTGGCAAATAATGTTGTTCTTTTGATTAGGGACATCTAGGCAAATAATGGAGTCAAAATAAAGACTAGCGACTTACTTGACTGGGGATGTGTAATGTCCTTCGAATAGGAAAAATCCTCTATATCAGGCAGTCTAACAAGCTGCAAAAGCCAAAAAAAGATCAGAGAGTTCTCTTTCCTTTTGCGTCACTGAAAGCCAAATGATCAAATTAACCTTAAACAACTCAAACGATCAAAGCAAAAAGTATCTCGAGATGGTTAAAATTTTAATCAGTTAGATGCACTACCAGACTCTGAATTTGGATGCTAAAAGTTCTGCAAGTCTATTCCCTCTGTAAATACACTTAAATACAAAGTATCTTCACACAAAGAGCCGCGCATTTCATTTTTTCTAGACGGTATACATATCTTACAGACTTATACACAACTATACACATTTTATGCATGGATTCTGGACGTTTATTTAGGTTAATTCTTTTAAATATAAGTTACAACCATTTCAATCCAAAAGTAATATAGATTTAGGAATACCATAACTTTTTTGCCAGAAGATTCTTCCTTGACCTCTTTGGCTATGACTTCCACAGTCTTTTTAACTCTCTTTCTTCGGATGAAAACACGGAGTTCAGGAACGGAGCTTCCACCTGTGCCATCACAACCTGAACACAGAAAAACTTCAATATTACAGAAATTTTTCCAACAATAGCTGAAATCTCACCCCCATCCCCTCAAAAAAGTTGCCTCCTTTAAACTCAAAAATGGATTCTTTATTGTTTGGCTGACCTGGGTTTTTCTGAGAAGGGGTTTCTTGGTTGAGGGAACTTCGTGTTCTTCGCATTTTGGCTGAGGAAATGGTTTGAATTCCAAGTGAGATTGAGGGAAGAAACGCAGTGTTTCTCAGAAGAGAGACAGACATTTTTGGTTAAAACAAAACCATAGTTTCGTTTCTTGATTCTCGGAGCCAGCATCAAAAATTGAAAAGAAGAAGAAGCTCAATGTTAAATAACTTAATTATTGATAAATTTAGTTTATTTAATAAATATATTCAAAAATAAATAATTATTTTTTTGAATATTATAATAAAATAACCTTTGTAACATGTTGAAATTACATTGTCAAAAAAATTTGAAACACACATTCTCTTTAGCAATATAAAAAATAAAGAAGAATAAATTAAAATAAAATAAATACATTTGACATTTAAGTTGTTATTAGAATCTTCTATCTATAGAATAAAATTGAATAACAACAATGTGATATGATATTTGATCTTTCAAAAGCTAGAAGTTAAATTTAAATGGTTAAAGAATGAATATGATTATCTTAAACGATGAATAACAAATACAACTATAAAATATGATTGTAAGAGTATATTTATTGAAATAACAAATCATAACAAACACATAAAACCTCTTTTTTATAATAAAAGGAAATATAATTTTTTCTCCATATAGGTTATAAAAAAATAAAATTATCTATATAATTATAGATCAAATTATATAATTTGAATATATAATTTTACTGTAAAATCAAAATGATTTTGATATATCAAAAGCTATATTATTTTGATACTTGATAACTCTTAATGTATGTAAAAAAGGAATCATTTCGAAGTGAAAATGACTTTTAAATATATTTAAGTTATTAAAAAAAATTAAATTTAAAATTCATTTCGAAGTGAAAATGACTTCTAAATATTTTTAAGTTACTAAAAAAATTAAATTCAACTTTAGATTGAATTCTTAAATTTCGAGAGGTGAACTCAAAATGAAAAATCTTAGTCTAATTGATCAATTTTTTATAGGCACTTTTAAGGACTATATGTATCAATTAGAGATATCACCAAGGACCAAAATAATACAAATCCAATACATGAGGGACCATTTTGATAATATTCTTTAGGAATTAGTAACATTCTTTCTTTTAGAAATTTTGAAACATTGATCCCCCAAATAGTTTTCTTCTTGTTGATTTGCAGGTAAGGAAGCAGCTAAAGCCATGACAGTGGCAGCAGGAATTGGATACGCTTTGTTAGCTCTTGGCCCTTCTCTCTCACTCTTCATCGCTCTTATCTCAAAGAAACCCTTCTTGATTCTCACACTTCTTTCAAGGTAAACTTCCAATTCAGAGTTTAGTTTGTTATTTTTTTGAAAATTTCTTCAAATTCTCAGAAAGTACAGTTATTGACAAATTTGGTGCTTTTATAGTGAGGAAAGCTTGGTGGGGTTTTTTCCTTTCATGGGTGTGACTTGGTCATTGTAAATGGGCACATATTGTTGTCATTTATTACTTAAAGATTGAATTTTTTTTGGTTACTGGGTGTGGTTGGTTTGTTTCATATGAGTCGAGGGTCCATCGGAAACAATATTTTATACTTTCAAAAGGTAGGGGCAAGGCTGTGCACACACTACACTCTACAGACCCACTTGTGGAATTGCACGGGGTATGTTATTGTTGTTGGATGTGATGTTTGTGGTAAATGCTGACATATAGTTGTCATTCTTTGTTCATTTGATTATAATGGGAAATCTCTTTGTTGCTCTATTACTTTACTAAAGGTGACTATATGAACTACTACTCTTGTTAGTTGTTACATTTTCATCATATATGATGTTTTCTTCTGCCGTAACCGGTTTGGTGTTTTTCAATCGTGGTGTTGTTTGTGTTGTGCGTTAGCAGATTTCCATATGTATTAGTATTGTCAACTTATGATTGTCTCTTTCTACTTTGGTAGTACATTGGTATGGCTTATGAGTCTGATAGTAATGTCAGCGCTTTGGAGGGCATTCCTTCCACTAAAAACAACAGCATGGTGGCCGTATGCTATCCTCATACTCACTTCTGTTGGTTTTCAAGAAGGACTTCGTATTCTCTTCTGGAAAGTTTACAAGTAAGTCAGCCTACAACTAATGTCTTGTGTACACTCTTCTGTCTGCATTGGCTGAACAAGTTGTAACTGAGTGAAATCCATAGGCGATATAGATCTCACTATAACCAATTAGTAGTTTATTTGCAGAAAAATTGTGTGAAGAGTAGAAATGCTAAATAGAAGATAGATAAGTTGACATTATGCCATTTGAATTACTTGTAGATTTCCCAAAAACTTTTGAAGTTTCATACTCATAATATTTTTTTCTCGAAGAAGTATACACATGATTGATGTGCTATGATAATGTAAAGGATTTACATATGTATTGAACTCTTACAATTTCCAGTGGAATAGATCATCAAAGTGGCGCACTCCAAATTACAATCATGTAGTAGCAAAATACAAGGTCTGTTGGGGATAAATAATGCCTCTAATTTGGAGAGCCATGTTTATGACATTTTGCACTGGAAATTATGAGTTTAACATGTATGCAAGTCGGCTCTTCACATTTTCATAGTGTAATCTAGAGAGCACCACTTTGAAGACCTCTTGCACTGGAAATTATACAAGTTCAATACCTCTGTGAGTGACCACACAGAAATCCAAGATTAGATATATTATTACTTTGATAATCATCTGAAGTAGCCTTTGACATATAGAGCCAATCCTTGTATTTCAACTAACATAGTTTCACATGGAACTGCTTGAGTAAAGAATATGTTGAAGCCAAATGAAGTAAATTACATGCAGAAGTGAATAAACATAGCTTTATTAAGATGTAAACATCCTTTTCATCAGTAGTAGATAGTCCATGTTTCCTTGCTATACTATGCTGACTTGGTGTATGGCCACTTATTGATCCCTGCCGGCTCTTTTGTCTAGGATTTATGGCCGTGCTTTCCATGTTGGAAATGATGCGTGGTTACGAAAACTAGTAAATGAGGAATTCAAATTTATTTATCAGATTTATTATGAAACTTAATTTTTCTAATTAAAAAGTTGGTAGAATATCCCATCTACTTATATTTACGAGGACTAGACCTCAACAAGAAATCTATCCTTCTGCTCATTCCCTCTTTTTGTTTGCCTTTTTCATATTCAGCAGATTTCCTCTATTTGTTGCATCATTGCTTGACATGGTTTATATTTCTCATTTGGAAATTTGTTGCTGGTTTTGCTTGGTCACAACTATCACCTCAAAAGATTGGTTCTAATTTGTCAGGAAGAACTTTTATGACTTCCAGTACTTTTATCCTACTTTATTTGTAGCATTTACCCTTAACTTTGTATTCCATGTTTGTGTTATGTCAGGAAGCTGGAGGATTTATTGGATGCGTTTGCTGACAGAGTCTCTAAACCTCGCCTCTTTATGACAGACAAGATGCAAATTGCTCTTGGTAGAATACTGAACATTTTCGCTACATGTCTTGTAAATTCTAGTATTTAGTTTTGATACTTTTTCTATCTCCCCTAGAATTTTTTTTTTTTTTATAATTTTCTTTTTTTCACTAAGGTACCTAAATGGGGAGGCTAGGGAAAATGAGTGTGGAAGACTTGTCACAATGATCTGAAAACCCCTAGGGCCTAACCTTAACCCAACCCAATAAGCGGGAAAATAAAAAGGTGGAAGCAGCTCGCCTACCCATTGAGGGTGTACCTTTTTGTTGCAAAACATGTTACATTTTAGTTTCAGAGCATGCAACAGTGCAGCAAGCTCGTACTATATATATATATATATATTGGTCCAACAAGACAGCAATTCTTAGATCGAAAACAATAAAAGAGAAGAGATGAGATTGTAGAGAGAACATAGATACTTCCAGGGGTAGGTACAACCATTGGAGCTGCAGCTGCTATTGCGTATTAGTCGTTGGGTGCTTCTAAGATTTCACTGTTGGCGACATATTTTAGCATTAAAAATGAAATTGTTGATATCATATAACTGAAGATCCCATAGCACCATGCAACTTCTAAACCTTCTTTTCAGCTCTGCACTTAACCAATTGATCTTCTCCAGTGGAAACAGAATTGAACAAGAAAAACCTCAGCATATTTAACGGAAGCTAAAAAGGAACTTGCTAATAACTGATGCATCACTTATGCAACTTTTAGGTCTAATTGATTGACAAGTTAAGAACAATTTCCTAATAACAAAATCATCTTGATGGTTTCTGATGTTGTACAGATAAAAGGATTCTAATAATATCATGAAAACACGTCCGACCATAGGAAACTTGAAGATGCTATTAGTTGCACTCTCTCTATTGGACTGATGCAATTGAAGTTCTGTTTAGATATAGGCAGGCAAAGTGGGACTTAGTAGCTGAGATTGATGTGCTGGTTTCATTTAACCGAGTGTTAAATGGACCGAGAGACTGTCAGTTGGAAAGGAGTTGAAAGTTGAAGGAGGACAGTAAGGGATTAGGTTATTGATTGAGGAAAGGCATGTTCAATGAGATTGGGATGGAAAACGCTAGCTTTTAGAGTTTAGATGACTGAGGTTTAAGTTTTAACTGCTCTTTCTTTTTTCTGAAGGTTTAGATGTTGCTAATCTGATACTTCTATAAGCTACTTCTACTAGATGGTATCAAGTATTGGAGTGTGAAAATAAAAAGATAAAGGAGTTATCTTAAAAACTATTCTGCAGTTTTCTCTATTTATACAACCCTCTTTGCCGTTTAAATTGGCAATAGATGTTCTATTAATTAGAATAAGCATTTTTAAGGGCCATTATTGTTCAATATGATTCTGAATCCGCTGAGATGTCGAAAATCATGCTGCACCCCGTGATGTTAATTGCTTGTGGCCGCTTTATCTGGGATACTATTACTGTTTGTACCCCTTTCCAGCTCCAAGTTGTTTCAACTTTCGAATATTCTTTTGATCTTTCCATTTATGGTGAAGGCAAACTACCTTACTGCTATTAGATATCTAGTGTAGTTTCTGATATTCTATTTGTTATCTGACACTAACATCTGATATGAGTTGACATGCAGCTGGGGGTTTGGGACATGGTGTGGCTCATGCTGTGTTTTTCTGCCTTGGCCTTTTGACACCTGCATTTGGACCAGCGACATACTATGTAGAGAAATGCTCAAAGATACCCTTTTTTCTTGTTTCTGGTAAGGGAATTCTGCTATTTCTGAGTTCCTCTTTTATTCTTTTGGAATTAGCTTCTGAGTACCTTGTATTATTGATCTTCAGCAAACTCTATATTTGAAAGATCTTCAGAACCAAAGTTTAAAGCAGTGAATGGAGTAACTTAGGACCATTATAAACTTCTTTGGATATCCTTACACAACTAATGAGGGACAATTGTTATCTTTAACCCTCCCGTCCCCCCGTCCCCCCCCCCCCCTTCCCAAACACACACACACACACACTCACACTCGTGTAACCCGGTTCTAGAGCATACACGTGGACTTTAACATTTTTTTTAATTCCATGTTCTTTTTTAAATAGATTAAATAGTGGGTTTATAGTAGAGAAAGACTAGTCTCAACAAGTTGAAGAGTGTCCCGGAGCATAGAGATAAAGAGAGAGTAGGCTCAACAGGCTAAAGAGTGGAAATGGAGTAGGGAGATAGTGAGAGAATAGGCTGAAGATTCAATCAAGAGAAGTGAGTGACTCAACACACTATATTGGGATAGAGAAGCCTAGAGGTGCTTGATGGCCTAAGTTGAGATATAAAACCCTACAGAGATAAAAACAAGTAGGGATGAAGTATGTGTGATGGCGAGCTTACCTAAAATTTTGGGTTCCCTTTTCTTGGGGCTGCAACTATGGTTTTAACTTAGAAAAATAGTGTAAAGTATAGTGCATGTTGCCATAGTATTGCTTACTACCTCCATATTTATGCAGTCTTAACACTATTTGGCATTTTAAATTGCAGCTATTATAGCCCTTGCCTTTGCTACCATCCACACTTTCTCCATGGTTATTGCATTCAGTGGATATGAAGAAGGAAACAAAGTGGACCAGTGTTTCGCTCCTGTTGTTCACTTAATTGCTGGCATGTTGGTAAGTATCCACATAATTGTGTATGCATACTTGAAGAGTGCAAACTAAACCTGTCGAGCAAACCAACTACTAAACTGAATGATACTACAGATCTTGTAACCGAAACTTTCCTAAATAGATCTGCTAGTTTTTTGGAGGGCTCTAGCATGAAATCAATATAGAAGCAGATAGTTTTAGCATTTGGTGTGGCTTCTGAATTATTTTGGATTAAAATGTACAAAGTCAATCATAACAGGTTACTTACATTCTTGGTTACCGAGAGTTATAGCTTCTACGTTTTTGATGCGCGAATATCTATAGTACAGGATCTCCAAAGAGGTCCATTTCTTCTTATTTCCTTGAAATCAGTGACTTGACCCATACTATTCAATGTCACTTGCTGATTTCATCTAATGTAGCACAGTTGATCGAGTTTATCAATCGTGCTTCCCTCTGTAGATTTACTATTTCGATGAAAAACTCGAGCAATGTGAGTGCATTTTTTGATTAAATGACGATTGATGATCTCTGGTTTGTTTTCAGACACTGACGAATCTTGCATTTGGAGGCTGCATGATTGGCATTCCACTCCTCTATTGTGTAGCAATCGTGACCTTGGTACATTGCGGAAAGATGGCATGGAGGAGATTGATAGAAAGCCGAAACAGGGAGGGGAACTTCAGCAATAGCCAATAAGCAAGGATAATAACCTTTTTTGTATTACTGAGAAGTGTAAGATTAGTAATTGCCAGATATATCTAATGCTTGGAGCATTTGCCAAGGGTGACTCAAAGAAGAGACTAGTAAATCTTTTGTTTTAGGCCTCCAAAAATATTTCATAGTCAACTTTATATTGGCCAAATAAATATTCGGGCCACTCAAACTTTACATGAATTTTCGTTGTAACACCTAACATTTGCCTTGTACCTATTGAACACCTAATATTACAAGAATTTATGTCTATTCAATAATCGTACCTGATGTGAAACGAAATATGTTGTTTAGTTAATCTTTTTTCAGCCGGATTAGAGAAGAAAAAGGGAGAATTTCTAATAGGAAAAAGCATGAATTTCTTTTTGTGGTGATGAAGAAGATAAAATGTTAAAATAATTTTTTATGTCAAGTTTAAATGGCGCGTAGTATTTGTATTCAAAATATATTGAAGTTCATTTTAACAAAAAAAATTGAAAAGTAAAGAAAGAGACATAAATAATTTAGGACTTCCAATTAAACTTTTCAAATTTTTGTACTAGTAACTAATGTTTTTTCACAAAATCTAGAGTGATAAATCACATGCATATGGCAAACATCTCAGTGAGAAGATCTAAGTCTAATAAAAAATTTAGTCCATAAATAACATAAATAATAAGAATGAAGAAGAAAAAAAAAGAGCAATATTAAAAGTTTGACTTCAAATCTTAATTGCAAAATAGAATGGTTCCAATACTCAAATAGGTATTCAACCATTTTATTCTATTTTAATGATTAAAGACGACGTAAGATGATAAAGTCTATTTTTTTATGAAAAAAATTCATAAAATCGAAAAATTAAGGCTAGCAACTGTTATGTTGAGTTTAAATTTGAAAAAGATGATATAAATTAATTAAATAATTAATGATAAAGAAAAAATAACACGTGGCACTTTAAAACTAGTCCATGACAATGAAAACACTGCATAACGCGCTTCAGGTGCGCGGTAACAACTTAGATCACAGAATCTATAAAATATTTTACTTATAATAATATTAAATAATTCTATTGGGACAAGCTTCGAAATTTAAGGTGTTTTTATGCAAATATAAAATAAGTTTAATGGTATCTTTATGTCTTTTCTCTTTAGCAAATGATACATATCTGTATTTTCATTGCCTAATAAATTGTACATAATACATTAGTTCAATAATTGTCACTTCATCAAAAATAGTTATTCAATTTAAAAAATTTACTTTTTATGTCTATTTTATTTTTGCTATTAAGTATTATTTGTCATCTAACATTAAATTTAATAAAATTAAATGATAAAATAGTAAATTTTCAATATTATTTATTGTTTTAAAAGAATATTTTAATTAATAACTATTATTGAACAAAGAAAGTATTTACTCATCCATTTTAATTATCTTTTCATAGGTGACCCAACTAAAAGAAATAATTTTCATATAAAATATAAATTATGAAGAAGTTATATAATTTTTAAAAATAAATTATATTTTTAAAAAAATTTAAATTATTGAAATCAAGCTTATCGCCAATTTTAATGTAACAGACATAATTTAATATATATATATATATATATATATATATATATATATATATATATATATATATACACGTGGGGTACGTTCATAATTATGTGGTCCAAATGTCCAATCATTCATATGCTATAAATAATAACAAACTAGTATTATAAAATAAATATAGTAGCTATCATTTGATTTATTTCTGTTTCATAACATATATCTTTGTCTTATAAATTTAAAATTATAAAATAAAATACTTCCCTGCCCAAATCTCTTTTGTTTTTCTCAATTTCTCGTTTTATATAAATTCAAATTGCATATAATTTCTCTCTTTCTCATTTTGTACAACTCGATTCAATTGTATATTTCCTACCCAATCTCTTTTGCCTTACTTCTTTTCTCGTTTTATACAAATTCAAATTGTATATAATCGTCTTACACACTTATAATTATACAATTCGTTTTATATACTTCGTTTTATATAATGCTCTGCTCAGGTCTCTTTCTCGTTTTAAACATTTTATTTTATACAATTCGCTTCAATTGTGTATGTATAGCGAATTATACATATATATTTGTTATGGAGGACAGTTATGCAAACTTTGCTATAACATATAAATATGAATTTTATGTTTGCTATATGTGAAAGTTGTCCAATATAATATAATACCTTTTAGTATCAAAATAATATTTCCACCGTTTAAAAAAGAATATCCCTATTTCCTTTTTAAAAAATTATTTCTTTTCTTAAACTCCATTTTAAGTTAAATTAGATCATTATTTTTAAAGGGCAACTTTCACATATAACAAATAAAAAAATTATATTTGTATGCTATAGCAAAATTTGCATAATTGCGCTCCATAACAAACATAGAAACTGTATAATTCGCTATGCATATACCGTTGAAGCAAATTGTATAAAACGAAGTGTATAAAACAAGAAAAAGAAAGACATTTTGGGCAGAGAACTGTATAAAAAATAAGTGTATAAAACGAATTGTATTATTATGAGTGTATAAAACGATTATATACAATTTGAATTTGTATAAAATGAGAAAGAGAGAACGACAAAAGAGACCTGACAAGGAATATACAATTGAATCGAATTGTATAAAACGAGAAAAAGAGAAATTAGATACAATTTGAAATTGTATAAAACGAGAAAGAGAGAAAGGCAAAAAAAACTAGGCACGGAAATATTTTTATTATATAATTATAAATGCATAGAACGAAAATATATTTTCAAGAAAAAGAAGTGCAACGTTTTCCCTTTGCTTCTTCGATTTTTGGCAGAGAGTTATAAAACTCTATTCAAAATTAGATAAAACTTAGTGCATGGATTTGGGGCTAATTTAGGATCATTACTTCTTAATTTGGCAAAAAACATAGAAAACTCTGATTAAATAAAATATATACAGCTAACACAATATTATTCTCCACGTTCCGAAAAAAAACCCTCCACGTTTCATTTTTTTTAATAATATATAAAAAAAATATTTCTTTTAACTTTCGAAAAATAAAAAATAATAAAATATTATGGTGGGTGACTCACAGCTCGTAGCCTTATCTCGAGTCTTCTTAGCTGAACTGCTTTTTAAACCCATGGATAATTTTTTCATCTTCATAGTCTCCTGGAAATCAATCAGTTTTCTACACCATTAGCTAGATTTCAGCTATTTTGTTTGAGCTTGAAAGTTTTTTCACAATATTTTATTGTATTGATATTCAGCTTCGGGAATTTGTTGTTGTGAAGATTAATTTTGATTGAAATAGGAATTGGAATGACGATCATTTCGTTACCGGGAAGTTCAGGCTACTTGGATGCGAGTAATAATAGAAAAATTTCTTACTTCAGCAATCCGTATGTATTGGGTTTAACTTTCGTCGCCGGTATTGGAGGTCTCCTTTTCGGATACGATACAGGTAAAACAACAAATAATTTGATAATAAGATTTTATTTTTTCCTGTTTGATTAAGTATTTGTAATTTTTTTTGGAGGATCATATTTTTTGGGGAAATTTTGTTAGAGGGTAGTTTTGATTTTTTTTGATTGATTGATGAGTGTTCTTGCTTAATTTGCTGATTAATTATGATAGATTTGCAATTTGTTGACTAAAAGCTAGTCATTTTTGGCTTTAATATTATTGTTCTAATCATTTAGCTGTTTTTTTTTTTTTAATTTATGAACATGGAGTTGGTGACTTAGGCAACTATCAGGATATGTTTAGTTAACTGGAATAATATCTTGTCACATTAGAATATAGGAAATTAGAATTAACAGCTTGTAGATTCTATATATTTTGGAACAGCTCAAAAAACTCAACCACCTACAGGTTTAATGGATTACTAAATTACAGAAAAAGATTTACTGTAGTTTATGCCTACCAGTTTGACGATGATTCCTTACTTTTTTTTCGGGTGGTAATGGAAGTGTGTTGTTATGTTATGACATGGAGATAAGATAATTGGCAAGAATACTCACAACACTGCAATAAATTATCCATACTTTTTTTTGTGAAAGTTACGAAGATATTGCATTTGTTTTCTCAGAGAAATATGTTCTTGATTATCAATTATGTAACCTGACTATGATTGAATTATCTCACAAATCTTCGACTTGGTTGTAGGAGTTATATCTGGTGCACTTCTGTACATTAAGGATGATTTTCCTGAAGTCAATCAGAGCAGTTTCCTACAGGTACATGAATAACCAATTTCATTCTGAACTCTATTGTAGAATACGGACATAACAATTTAATAAGAAGTGATCAGAAAAACGGAACTTTTGAGCACAAAAGCTGGTCCAACATAATCACATGGCTTGTTGGAATTATAAAAAATTAATGGATGGAACGGGGAATGGGTGAGGTTGAAGCTCACTTATTACTTTTATAGATGATATGATAATAACAGATTGTTATATTAGTTTCTGACTAAAGGATGTTGATTTCAGTCGTCTTGTCAGTTGCATTGAAGGGATTGTTCTAACCTTATCCAAAGAATTTTTCATAACTAAATGGGGTAATCTAATATGGTTGAACAAGTGTGAAATGCAAAATGACATGATGCTACTTGTATTTATTGTGATGATGCAAGTGTGGAATGTGATTTAACAGCTATCAAATGTGCTTTACTCTGTTGTAGTAGTAAACTCTCCAAATTTATTAACCTTTGCTAATTATACGATAAATAGGACTTTATTTCTGCAGCGAGCCAATAACACTTAATAGGTGGTCCTATTTCTGGTTAATCTATTTTCCCCCGTTAAAAGTTCTGTTTCATGATTTTGCAGGAAACTATTGTCAGTATGGCATTGGTTGGTGCGATGATTGGAGCTGCTGCTGGGGGCTGGATTAATGATTATTTTGGACGGAAGAAAGCTACTCTGTCTGCTGATGTTGTTTTCTTACTGGGATCAGTGGTAATGGCTGCAGCTCCGGATCCATACGTTCTTATACTTGGTCGACTCTTAGTAGGTCTGGGAGTTGGTGTTGCTTCTGTCACTGCTCCTGTTTACATTGCTGAAGCATCACCATCAGAAATTCGTGGGGGCCTTGTTAGCACAAATGTACTAATGATTACAGGTGGACAATTTCTTTCCTACCTTGTAAATCTTGCTTTCACAGAGGTTAGATATTTCTTCTTATTTCCTGCCTTATCTAACTTTATCTTACTTTGATTTCTTGATAACTAAAAATGAACAAAATCTTGTGTTGCATATGGACATGGGGGATT